GTGTGTGTGTGTGTGTGTGTGTGTGTGTCTGTGTGTGCGCTGCGCGCCTGCACCGATTTTTCATCTCGAGACCTACAAGAGGTACAGGGCTGGAACTTTGGGGACTTAATCTACATGCAAGTACGGGCCCCAACCCCGAAAATGGGCGGACTTGCCGCGTGGTACCATCTTAAGAGCCCGCCAAGGTTTTTTACGGGCATGCTGCTAACTCGCAAACCAGAAAAGTTAGAAAGCTGAAATTTTAAGGGGATGTTCCTCGTCCACATAAGTCTAAATGAGCTCATGCCCAGCCACCGGGCGACCGTGGTACATGCGTACGGGCCCGTCAAAATTTTCTACGGGTAAGTTGATAGCTCGAGAACCTGAAAAGTTAGAAGACTGTAATATTGAAAGGATGTTCCCCGCCCACATTAGTCTCAACGAGTTCAAAAGATCGAGTATGCGTGGTATCCACGTGCGGACCCACGAAATTTTTTTCCAGCAAGTTGCTAACTCAGAAGCCAGTAAAGATAGAAAGCTGAAATTTTAAGGGGATGTTTCTTGCTAGTTCTTGCGGCCAGTCTTAATTTGTTTATCTAGAAGCATTTGCCGAAAAAACTAATGCCAGTAGCGACAAAAACTGCGGAGGACTGTGCAAAAAACGCATCTTTGCACGGGGAGCCCGTGCTTTGGTCAGTTATTTGCATTAGTGGAGAGGAGTCACATTTTTCGAGTTGTTAATCTACTTATGAAACGAAACGTATTTTCAAGGAAAATTACAGCAGACGTGGCCGATGGCTAAGTATGGTATTGGGATCAACGCTCTGTTCTGGAGTATTTCACGCCACTGTTTAGTCACATCTACAGCATGCCCTTTACATTCTGCAGTCATATGCATCAATTTTATCACAGTAAGCCTGTTTTTCGGGACGTCGGCCTGCTCTGCTCAAATCTGGTCGAATAAAATATCTTTTTCTGGAAAAAAAAATCACCATCTCAATGCATTTTCGGAAATCCAGACAAATTTCAGTGCAGTTTCAATTTCATATTGAGTGCCATCGTTGTAGCATATGCTTTCCATTTCATTGTCAGGACGAGCCCTCGTTCCCCTTGCTTTTTGAAAAAATTTTGAGTGACATTTACGCAAATTTTTTATGCAAATTCTGATTCGCTCTTATTCGTGTGCGTTTGGCACACAGCATATTTAGCGTGCTTAAGAGCGGTTGTGCAATTATTTTATTCCTGCTGGGATCCGCATGAGGTCTGGAAAAGACTGAAAAGATTGCGAATTGCATTGATATTCTTGTCTGAAGTGACGAGCTTTCTTGTTTTTTTCCACAGCTTCAAAGCTTTCTTGAAAGAACGCGGTTGAACATAAATTCATTTTTTCTTATTCGTTTAACCTGCACGAAAAACTTGTTTTGCACAGCGCCCTAGACTGGCGAGGTCCTCGGCCAGCGATAGAATTATCCTGTACCTCCCGTTTCCACAAAAGCACAGCAAAGAGTCTAAGGTACAGCAAAATTAGCAACTGCCAGCCCGGAGTTTGCGTGCAACAGTTTAGGCCTAGCTGCGACCCACTCTTACAAGTAGAAGCGGCGATTTGACCGGAAGCTCTGAAGCAGCAGCTTGGCTCAGGTTAATCAGAATAGTAATAGGTTCGAATAACCTAGTAACGCAAGCGAACTTGACTTGGGTTAAGGCAGCACCAATCTAAGCTTTTAAAAAAAACCATAGTATTAGCTGTGGACTTCAAAAATTCTGACCAAATTTTAGTTTTAGGCGTGACAGTATTGGCTCATGCTTTGAATGTTTGCTTAAGTTGAAGTTCATGGAAATCAACTTAAATGCTTCGAAGTAGCACAAGCAGCAACATTTAGGCACAAGCAGCAACTGCTTGCTAGATCGACTTGGATTTCGGCTCAACCAGTGAGGCCAACAGTTAGAAGCATACGAAGCCCTTGATTGCCGTTAATTTTAGAATTAATGACACCGAGTAATACCGAATGTTCTAGAATATGAATAAGCCAACGTCGTCACAGAAATATTTATTCATGCAGTTTAGCTGTCCAACAAATTCAAAAAATTTACAACGTGACAATCTGGCAAATTGTAAATTGAAATCAGAAAATGACATAACAAATACAATAAATGAGACATGTAGTATGGTTTCTATATCGGAACGGAATGGCCTCCGTTGGCTGATCCACTATTTGAAAAGAAACGAGTTCGCGCAGCCGATCCATTTGGACTGAAATGGAATGCGCTCAATCGACCACTATGTTTAACGGAAAAGATATAGCGAATTGTGAGAAGAGAGTTACGCGAGACAAGCTTATCAGTGAGGGACTATTTCTTTTGTGATCCGCATTTCAGCAGCTTCAAGAACTCCCAGTTTCCAAATACAGCGTATTTTTCTGTACAGGATATGATGTAGCGAAGTAAAGCCACTGTATTGTTGGTTCGCATCTGATCAAAACTGCCCAAATGTGATCGATGAAATAGTGAAAGCGCAGCAGCTGAGCGAGGATCGTCTTCGTCTTGAAGCCTTCCTTTTCCATATTTTGGATGCATATGTAACGAATCTTTATTCCTCTTTTTTTGATTTCTGCAAAACTTCGACGGATGTCTCTTTGCTTTCGCCAGTTCCACAAGTACATGCATGCGGCCAGCTGATCCACGACCATTAATTGATAGGATGCTGTACTGGTGAATATTCTTTGCTCTTCTTGACTCTTCTCATCCACAACCCTCGGCATTCTCGGATTCCGTCCAGGCCCTCACAGATGACTGGCATTGATTTCTTTTTAATAAGATTAATTATCGCGGAAATTCGTATAAAAAGCACTTTCAAAAATACCGCAAATAAGGCAGTGCGTTCATACAACTCCATGCATCATTGCGAGTAACGACGTAGACGATCTTCTTTTTTCTGAATCGTCCAACTGTGGCGTCTAACTGCAGCGTAGCGACGTCTTTGTCCAAGTGCCACCGATTACAGACACCCTCCATGGAGCACATCCGGTGAACAGCCAGAAATGCCAGCATTAATTTGTCTGCTGTCCCTGGCTCTACAAATCGGCATCCTCCTGAGTCGTCCCGTTTTCCATGCATTCACATCTTCAGCAGCCAATTCATCTCCAAACCGGTCCGCTAAGAAACTCAGAAACAACTGAATGACAAGCGACTTTCTTGGCTTTTTAAAGC